GTTCTTAAAGGATGGAAAACCCCCTATAAGACTCGACCTTTCCAGGGCGAGGAGCGATGAACGTCCGATTTTAATAATGCTTTTGATTTGGGATTATGCATTATAGGGTTTCGGTGATGGCAAATTTTTTATGTTATTGACCACTCAAAGTTGACACGGTGACGAGCGACGCTCAGTATTTATTGAGAAATCGCGCAGCAGCCTTTTTCTGCTGACGCAATGTTCGATGTAATTGGAGCAATGGTAAACTCGTATTGAAATGATTCCAAATAAAAACCTTTTGTTTGATCCAAAATCAATCAGTAATTTGAAAAAATTATTTCGAACATCACCAAGAATTTAAATTTAATGGATTGTGAGGATATTGCATACCTGCCCCATCCAATGTTGATCAGGCTTGGGACAAGTTGACTGATGCCACGAGAACTGATTGCTACATCAAAAGATGTAGACGTTGTTTGGAATATTATCGAACAATCGAGGGTGATACTTTTCATGGACCACCCCTAATATAAGAGATTGTGTGAAATGTAATAATTTTTGAGAAAAAAACAAAAAAAATGCTCTTCAATTGTGATATTTATTCATGCACTTCTTTAGACTACATTAGTTATAATCATGAAAATCCTTTTGTAAAGAAAAAAAATCATTGATAAAAAAATAAAAAATGGAAATTATTGTTCAATTTAAGCTTGTTTAATTTAAGCTTCAGTGTCATCCTTCTCATCTACATGGAATTTAATTTTGCTGTATTCACCACCCAAGTACTCCAACTTTGGTGAGCCTCTCTTGATTTCTTTCACCAAACCTTCGAATTGTTGGGGATTTTCAATGGAGAACTTCGACGTCCTTCGGTTCAGGAAAACTGCACAAGCATTATTCAAATGGAGGATCACACTCATTCCATGCTTCGTTTTGACTTTGAAGGCTGCAGTAATGGTATACAAGTAGTTTAATGCTAGTTTAGACAGGTTCAACAGAGGAAGTTCTTTCAATTCGATATTGATTTTGTCGAAATGAGCTTGATCTGCCTCATTTTCAACCTTTACATTCGGATCTGGTTGCATACGGATACTGTTAGATCCTTGACCAAAGTATTACAGTGTTGAGGAACCCTTCTCAATATGGTTTCGAAAATTTTCAAATTTTTTAGGGTTATCCTCGAAAAACTTCGTCAATCGGCTATTCACAAAAACTGAATAAGTATTTGACCAATGTAAAATAATGCCAACACCATATTTGGTATTAATTTTGTAGGCTGCCGTGATGGTGTACAAATAGCCGCATTCAAGTTGACACATTTTCACCAGAGGGAGTTCTTTTAACATTGCAATATCATTGATTATGTTGAAATTTGCTTCATCCGCTTCATTTTCAACCTTCATGTTTGGATCAGGATGCAGGCTAATATTGTGATATTTTCCACCTAAATATTCCAACGTTGGTGAGCCCTTTTTAATATATTGTTGGAAATTCTTGAACATCTTGGGATTTTCAACGAAATACTTGGCCAGTCGATTATTCACGAAAACGGTGTGAGTATCTAAGAGATGAAGAGTAACACCGACTCCATACTTTGTCTCCACCTTGCGAGCTGCGGTGATGGTAAAGCTCCAACTTTTAAATCTTCAAGTTTAAAGAGAGGAAGAACTTTCAGATGCGCCACAATGTTAATTTTGTTGAAATCCATGATATCTTGGTACTTGAGTATCAAAATTAGGGTTGAATGTAAGTCTTCTGAAGATTTGAGCAGAGCACTTTGATGTCACTTCAAAACTGGATAACTTGTTTCACTTCTTAAATATTCTTCAGAAGAAGATTCAAACGTTTCTTTAATTCCTGTCGCTGGAGACTCTCCCTCATGGAAAACTTTGCGACGAACTGATGACGAGCATGGAAATGTCGTTGGTTATATACATAACCCCCCCCCCCAGTCCTGCAACCATCACTTTTCAAATAAATAATTACACATTGTTATTAACAACGGTTTTCCACGAATTGGTGTGGCAAACATCACCGGAAATGTCAATATATACATAAACCACCCTCACGCACCCATCACTTGCTTAAATAAATAATTACACATTGTTATTAACAACGGTTTTCCACGAATTGGTGTGGCAAACATCACCGGAAATGTCAATATATACATAAACCACCCTCACGCACCCATCACTTGCTTAAATAAATAATTACACATTGTTATTAACAACGGTTTTCCACGAATTGGTGTGGCAAACATCACCGGAAATGTCAATATATACATAAACCACCCTCACGCACCCATCACTTGCTTAAATAAATAATTACACATTGTTATTAACAACGGTTTTCCACGAATTGGTGTGGCAAACATCACCGGAAATGTCAATATATACATAAACCACCCTCACGCACCCATCACTTGCTTAAATAAATAATTACACATTATTATAAAGATTGGTTTTTCCATGAAGTAGTAAACATCAAAATACAGAAAATCTCAATATATACATAAGCACCCCACATCTGCAGCCATCACTTTTTTAAATAAACAATGACACATCATTACAAATAACGGTTTTCCATGAAGTAGTAAACATCAAAATACAGAAAATCTCAATATATACATAAGCACCCCACATCTGCAGCCATCACTTTTTTAAATAAACAATGACACATCATTACAAATAACGGTTTTCCATGAAGTAGTAAACATCAAAATACAGAAAATCTCAATATATACATAAGCACCCCACATCTGCAGCCATCACTTTTTTAAATAAACAATGACACATCATTACAAATAACGGTTTTCCATGAAGTAGGTAAACACCAAAGTACCGGAAATCTCAAGTTCGAGCATGTTTAAAAAATGTCATGTGGTCACCAGATGTGACTCGTCTAGGACTATCTCAATAAATTCATGAATAAATCTGTTCAATCAAAAGCGCTAATTACACCGTGAACTGCGAATTAATTAACCGTTTCTCCCACCCACCCCCTCGCGGGATGAGAGATGAATTGACTATGTCATCAATAGAGTCCCTAAAACCGCGAATTAATGAACTCTTTCACCCACCTCCCTCGCGAGGATGCCTTAACTAGATCGTGGATAGATCCCCAAAACCGCGCTAATTAAACCGCGAGCCGCGAATTGAGTAACTCATTCACCTATCCCCTCGCGGAGGTGGATTGACCAGGTCGTCGATTTGACAGAAAAAACTGGCAATTAAATTGCATAACCCGTGAATTGAACCATGACCCGCGGATCGGACCACGAATTACACGGTGACCCGCGAAGTAATCTACCCTTCCACCCACTTCCTCGCGGGATTGGATTGACTACTTCGTCGATAGAGCCCTATTTTACCAAAAAAAAAACGCGAATTAAATTGATTGACTCGCGAATCAAACCGCGAATTACAACCGTCACTCGCACATCAATCACCCCTTCCATCCACCTGGCCCCCTCACGGGAGCCCTTTGGCCAGGTCTCCGCTAGACCCTTGCCCAGAACCTACTAATGAATTTGAGAATTTATTAATTTAATTAATTAATTAATTAATTAATTAGCGCGGATTAATTACCCTTCTACCCGCCCAGCCTTCTCGCGAGTGTAAGTCGTGGATACATACCCAAAATCGCGAATTAATTGATTAACCCGTCAATCAAACCGCGAATTAAACTGAGACCCGCGATTTAATCAACCCTTTCATTCACCTCCTCCCTGGAGTGAGTTGACTAGGCCATTAATAGAGCCCCCAAACCGCGAATTAAATAGATCAATCCGCGAATTAAATAGATCAATCCGCGAATTGAAGTGAATCAAACCGCGACCCGCGAATCAAACCGTGAATTAAACCGCGACCTGCAAATTAATCAACCCTTTCACCCACTCGACCCCCCTCGCGGGGGCCCTTTGGCCAGGTCTACGCCAGACCGTTGGGCCAGGACCCGCCTTACATATCTACTAACACAGCTCGCGAAACGATAGGAACGCTATCGAGCACTATGCTAAAACCCAACGCTTCTCGAACATTCCACGAAAAACAACGCGACCGAAAATCACTGTAATGTTAACGGAAAACAATTGCGCTTGTTAACACGTTAATGCGGCAATTTTATTTGTCACGTTGAAGGAATCAGATCGGAGTCACCACTTGTGGGATTCGGTGAAGAATAGACGGGTTTTGTAACGTAAAACACTCAGAATTAACGTATATATCGAATTGAATTTATTCACAACGAAAGTAACTTTGGTTTACACCATGAGAGCTGAAACGAGAGTGTGCTCCCGCGACAACGGTATTAGATCATCCGATCGAGGATGTCCGAATTATTATGAATCGTCGCGAGAATGTCTTGCGACAAGGACAGCGATATATCGGCGACACGTGTCACGATACACAATTCAGTTGCTAAGCCGAGCTCGAAAACAATACATTGAAATGGTGTGAAATAAATATAAAAGTAGCTTCGCTACATAAAATGTTATGTATATGTTTTCATTATGTAAAATGAATAAATTATTTATTTCAAATAAATTCTTCATTGAAATCGCATTGAAATCGCAATTTATAAACGATTAATTGCAACCGAACAAGGGATTGGTACATGTTAATAAAGTCGTTCGCTTCGCCGTATATAAGGAGTGATTTTATTTCTAAGCAATTGAGTCGTTATTTGATTCAAATAGACCACTTCTTTTATCACAAAATAAACGTTCTGAATTCGGGTTTTTTGATGTCTTTTCAATATATTCAAGAGGTGTAGGAAAGATGTAACTCCACATATTTTTTTCTTTTCTGTTTGCGGAAAGTGGAGAAATGCTCAATGTCATAAGGGGTCGATGATATCAGAGTCTTCTTCGGAGATGATTTGCTAGTTATCAGAAATTTTTTCCTAAATAATTCTGGTCAATTGAAGTGCGAGATACGCGTTGGTCTTGTGGAGGGGGTTGACGTCAAACAACACCTTGCTTTCATGCGGGGTTTGGAATCAGTGTAGAGTGCGACGCCATGAAGACAACTCACTCGATGGACATCGTCATTGTGGGGGGTGGCTTGGTACAATTCGCATTCTTATCGGAATCTATTTTCGAATTTATCAGTGCCAAATTTATTATCTTAATTTTCAGGTTGGCGCGCTGGCTGCCTGTGCGCTAGCTAGGCGTGGACATAGAGTTCGGGTCTATGAGTATCGCTCTGGTAACTAAATTTACATATTGCCTGCGAATAGAAGTTTTGTAATCGTTGATTTTGACTATCTTCTAATTTTACTTAGAAATGACGTAGAATGTCATGAAACGTGAAGATATGTTTTCAGAAAATGCGTGTGTGTATGTCCGGATGTGTGTGCGAATTTTTCGGAAAATATTTATAAATCTTCACAGAAAAAGGACTAAATTTGAAGCTAAAAATCTGAAATTTCGTCACATAATTGTATTACTTTGAAGCACTTCTGGGCAAAATTTCAGCCCAATCGGTCAAGTAGTTTCCGAAATATCGCAATTTCTCAAAAATCTTTTTTCCACAATATTTCGACAACTACGTTACTGAATTGAATTTTTTTGACGTAAAAATATTCCTTGTGATAATATCTATTAAATCAAATCACAATATTACTATGTAATTAGGGACAGTTTGGTAATAATCGGCATTTTTCGTTTTTATGAGAAAATCGTTCTATATACGATAACACCCGACATTGCATGTTTCGTCAGTAGGCCGAAAAAAACTCTCCGGCGAGTATGAGTTTGCAGCCCAAGCCGAAGGCGAGGGTTGCAATCATATGAGCTAGAAAAGTTTTTTTAGGCCGTATGTCAAATAATATTTTTTTCGTCATTCCGGCCGTGAGGCAGCGCTTCACGGACGCGAATCTCTGCCTACGGCCGTCATGACAAAATAGTATATTTCGGCCTAATGGCGAAATATACTATTGTCATAACGGCCGTAGACAGCCAGCCGGCGTGACAGCGATTTACGGACGCTACTCGGAATGACGAAAAAATTTTCATCGAATATTGAAATTTGGTGAGATTGTAGCTCTTGTGATATCGCGTATCTAAACGCAACAGGTTTTAGATACCAGAAAGCTATTTGCCGAGTTTCTTAAAGCGAGAAGGTTATATCTCCACTCATTTGTTCTGCAATTCTGCGTGAAAATACTGGAGAAACTTATGATAATACCTACATTCTCAGATTGATCATGAGCTGCATGTACGACCTTTTGCCTTTAATTTACATCCCCAGAAATGAAAAATTAAGTAAATGCAAAAGGTCGTAATGACAATTTTTTTTTATTTAAATTCATATACGAATAGGCTCGTAACCCTGCATGTTATTGGTTCCGAATGGAAGCATTGTAATCGTTCAAAATTTAAGTTTTGGATTTTTCGTGTTATATCCACCCATTATGATCCAAAAAGTCCGAAAATGTAATTTTTAGACCGTCTCCATACGTATGTATGTATGTATGTGCGTACGTACGTACGTAAACCAATTTTTCTTTGATTGTTCGCTAATGAATTGATGGAATTAAATCTTTTTTCTCCTCAAATGTAAGTATTGATAAGCCGTATCAATCGCCATTAATTAACATTCAATTCAATTATTAATTTTAAAAAAATTAAATTTTTCAAAAATAGTTTTTTTACGATAACTAAAAAGTGTTCTGAATTGATGGAATGATGGCTTAAAAAAATGTTTGGATGTCCTTTTGACCGAGTTCGAAGATAAAGGCGATAGCAATAATCGTTATTTTGATTTATTTGAAAAATTGCAAAAATTCTGTATTTTTTGAAAATCAGCATTCCGGGGATATGCTTGAATATCATTCTTCAAATGAATTCAATCATAGCTTAAAATGTTTGTTTTGATGCCATTAAGTCGGAGTTAAAATATGATTACGATAGCTGTATTGGTTGATTTTATTTTTATGATAATTGTTGAAAATTTCGAATTTTTCATGAATTTCTCTGAAAGTGAGCTGATTCTGAAGTGAGCTTTCTGATGGTTTCTTCAAATGTGATATTTCAAATTCATTCAATTATGTATAAATAACATTTTTCTATTGGCATTTTATCGAAGGGCTGTGGGGAGAGATAGAACTGTAAAAAAAACAATTGTTTGTACAGAAGAAAGAGATAATAAGAATAATGATGATAACATTCAACTAAGTTGAAAATTTGACAAAATTAGTTAAAAATAAATCTTATTCAATTTAATCAAATGAAATGAACAACTATGATAGAAGGAAATGATGTGCAAAATAACCATTCGCAAGGATATTGATAATTTATTAACAAAAATAACTATACTATACTATATTATTTGTATTATAATAATCATTAAATTGATTGAATTAATAAGGACATATTTTGACTCGATATTTCCGGACTGAATTAAATAAAATGAAAAGCTCAAATGATTTCCTCTCAAAAAATTGATTACTTTAATGAAAAATATTGTACCATATTTATTCCTTTACGGTAAAGACATTCGAGTTGAAGAGTCTCGTGGTCAATCCATCGATCTTGCTTTATCCGTTCGGGGAAGAGAAGCTCTCAAACTTGTTGGTCTCGAGGATAAAATCGTCAATCATCATGGGATTGCCATGAAGGGACGAATGTTGCATGGGAAAGATGGAAGCTTGCGGGAAATGATCTATGACAGTGTTAAGAAGAACGTAAGTCCGCAAATCAATGTCTAATTACTTCTCAACTAATTGAGCAAAAACTCAAGAAATTTGAAATTGTCAATTTTTATTCTATTTTATAGTGTATTTACTCAGTAAGTCGAAAATATTTGAATCAAGTTCTTCTAGATGGTGAGTTTTTCTCTTTATATTTTATTCATTCAGTTTCTGTAACAATATATCACTTTACATCTAGTCCAGAAGCCATACAAGAACCATATCACGTTTCACTCATATGCAATTAAAGCAGAAACACCCGCCGCCAACCCTGTTTACCTCCCCTGGCCATTGAACTCCCTTTCTCTCTTTTTCCCTCATGAAATCTGACTCATTTTTGCGGTATTTTATGTGCATAAAAACCCACTGCATCCGTTCAATTCATTTAGTTTTTAATGTATTTGAGTCAGAAGTATTTTGGAAGAATATATCACGTTTCGAGGATTTATGTCATGGTGAATAAGTTTCTTGTATTTCCGATCGCTAAACCCAATACCGTGGTTGACCATCGGGATTGCGGGTGTTCTATACCACAGCTGCCGATCAATATCCATCGGTGACACTGATTTTCAATAAGAAGCTGGTCGATGCTGATTTGGATCTGGGGAAACTGAAATTCATTGAGTAAGATGATTTTTGAGTTTTGATTACGATTGGAAATAATAAATGCAGAGAAATGTGAAATTGTAAATCATCTCGTTCATGAAGGGGTTCACAGAGGAATGTCATGACACATTTCTTGTCTAGAATTTTCTCAGCGGCAAAAATGATTTGAAACACTTCGTCGTAAAGTCAATGGTTTCTGAGATGAATCACAGAAACAAACATTTTTAAAAACAAGTAAAATTTGAGATATTAGGAGAAGTTGGGGCTGCGGAATAGTCCATACGCTGTACCTGTATCTATCCTGTATTAAGTTCAGAGTCCCCGAATTCTGATGTATAGAATGCATGTTTTTCGAGTCGCTGATTCCAAAGCTGTCGATTACTTTTTCAAAAAATCCGTCGTTCTGTTTGTTATTAACAATTTAATTGTTTAAACCATCATATCGCAAAAGTGGTCACAGATGGAGAAAAAACTTTCGAACAAAAAATGTTTGGTATGTAAAAATACTCATATCTTGTGATATAACTTTTGTCTCTAACTATGATAGATGAAGAGTTATCAGGGGTGGGAACAAAGTGGTTGGCACGTTAGCACTTTGCGTGAGGTGTGGACGCGCTCCGATTCGTTTACCGGCAAACTCGATGGAGATAGAGAATAAATAGTTGAAACAAAAAATGTTCGCCAACAAATGTTATATTTAATTAGTTTTTTGAAATTTTTGCTCTACTCCTAGCCGTTAATGGGATATTAACGATCTGGTGTTCTATAATGAGGGAAATTACCTATAACGTTTTTGTTTATTACAGTGTCGTCAGGAAAGAGTTTGAGATACGGAGAAAAAACTGGCATCAAAGTTGTTTTTCTGTCAAAAATACATAGATTTGTTATTGTGTCTTTTCGTCATATCTCCATTCTCTACAAAGATCTAGCCCGTTAAGAGAGACCCCATGTAGGACAATACGATGTGGCTCAACATCGGGCCAAACTCGGCGCCAAGTTCCCGACTGGAAATTGCTTCAGGCCCGCCTGAAGCACGATCAGAACTAGATCAGGTTTTTGTAAGGTTCGACTGATCCGGTGATTCCTGATGAGAACCTGACCAAGTTCTGATCCAGCAGATCGGGTCCGAAAAACTACAGGCAGGTTCAGACCAAGTTTTGATCAGGTAGACATGATCAGATGATGCCTGATGAGAACCTGACCAAGTTCTGATCCAGCAGATCGGGTCCGAAAAACTACAGGCAGGTTCAGACCAAGTTTTGATCAGGTAGACATGATCAGATGATGCCTGATGAGAACCTGACCAAGTTCTGATTCAGCAGATCGGATCCGAAAAACTACAGGCGGGTTCAGATCAAGTTCTGATCAGGTAGACATGATCAGATGATGCCTGATGAGAACCTGACCAAATTCTGATCCAGCAGATCGAATCCGAACAACTACAGGCATGTTCAGATCAAGTTCTGATCAGGTAGACGTGATCAGATGATGCCTAATGAGAACCTGACCAAATTTTGATCCAGTAGATCGGATCCGAAAAACTGCAGGATGATTCAGATCAAGTTCTGATCAGGTAGGCACGATCTCACCCTGAGGTCGGCTGCCTGACCCCAATTTGATCAAATTCGGATTTGATGTCTTTGATCGGCATTTGAACGGGGTCAATTGAAGAGAAAATGATCAGATTCAGATCCGGTCCATCTAATATTAATTTTAATAAGTTTTTCGGATAATTTAATTAACTATTATTATAATATTCAAATTAAGTTTTATCAATCATTATCAATAATTATTTTCAATCTTTAAAAAGAATCATTATACTATAATTAAAATAAATTAAACTAATTCAATTTAATGAATTTAATTGAATTAATCAATTTAATTACCAGCCAGCCCTTCTCAAATGTACAGAAGGGAGGGATGATGATGCCGTAAATCCGTATTAGAGGAGTATCAAACTTACACGCAAATGATCTTGAGAAAACAAAATCACCAAAGGTCTATTTATTTATTAGTGTTATTGTTATTATCATTATTATTATTCATTAATGAAATAAATAAAAATTTAATTGAACATATTTTATCTCTGAGAATAAACACGCACATCCGCGAGATCAGGAATAATCGTAAATTCAACAAATACCCCGATACAAATCATATAGGCAATGTACAGTTTACTCAATAGTAATAGCGCAATAGCATAGTGGTTAGGGTATAGGATTAGCAATCATAGGGTCCCCGGTTCGATCCCCAGCATCGGTAAAAAAATAATAAGCTTTTTCAGAGGTAATAACAGTAGAGATTCATTAAGAGAGGCAGCCTACGATGAAAGAATTGAATTATCTTTTGTTTTGGATTAATTATCATTGATAATTGTTATTGATACTGACAGATAGGTCATCCGGTTTTCATACAGTTGACTTGATCAAGTTCGGAGCCATTCGTCCTGATCAAATCCGGATTGGTCAGAGGCGTAACATGTCTGATCAAGACCGGATCCGTCAACTTGATGAATACCTGATCAGTGGTCAGGTCTAACCCGATCCGAACTCGATCAAGACCTGACCGGAATTGCCACTCGGGTTCCCCGATAATCGGTTGCGATCTTCGGCCGATGTTCTGCCGAACGTTGTAATGTTACTTCGGGCCATCATAGACACCAATGTACGCCCAACATTGGCGTCGATTATCAGCCAACCATCAGTGAAACAAAATTTTAAAATCGCTCATACATATTAGTTCCAATAGTTTATAATCGTTTTATAATCCTTCTTATCCATTCCAGTGAACCAAAAAAGAAAAAAAATTTTTTTAAATCGCCGCCGGTGAGATTCAATCGCGAGTTCTTCTGATCTGTAGTCAAGCGCGCTATTCACTGAGCCATCTGAAATTTCTTATGAAGATAGATTTTCTTCGGGTATAGAAATACCACATGGTGTTTTGTTGGAATCCTCGAATGCGATTATCAACAATTAATCAACGAATATGTAACTCCCATGAGAAGAGTCAATTAATTAATTTACTATTCTTAAAATATTTAGGCTTTCATTCGGGGTATCGATATCTATATTCTGTATATTAGAAAAGAGGATGAATGCATGCTATTCATCCATTTATTCGAAAAATAGCCTACAAATATTGAGTCGGTTCCGATCATCGGCCGTAAAGCGGCCTTTCATCGGAGCCCCGATGTTTGGTGCGCGGATATTGGACCAATGTTTGGCCTTTAATTGGAGCCCCGATGTTCGGCAAGCAGATATTGGGCTGATGTTTAACCTTTCATCGGGGGCCCGATGTTCGGCGACCAGATATTGGACCGATGTTTGGCCAACCGCCGACACATCGCGCAAGGAATAACGCACCGCTTCGCTCCCACCTCCGATAACTCTTCATCTAGGGTTAACCCGGGCGCGATTAACAAGTCTCCGGCAACATCGCGTCATGGGCAATTTAACATGGGGAAATAATAATTTATCTGTTCGAAATAATTTGTTTTCTTTAGGAACTTTGGGAAATATGTTGTTCTAAAAACTACCAAAAAATTTTCGACACCTCAATTGACGAAGTCTAATTTTTTCAATTTTTCCGGTTAGCCAGTCAATTGTAATTAAAGAAAAACGACGCACGGCGGGGTTTCCTCATAGGGTGACCAATCTAGGGTTAGTCGGCTATATGTCTGTAAAGAATGGAGATATGACGAAAAGACACAAAACCAAATCTATGTATTTTTGATGGGAAAACAACTTTGATGTCAGTTTTTTCTCCGTATCTCGAACCCTTTCCTCACGACACTGTAATAAACAAAAACGTTATAAGTAATTTCCCTCATTATGGAACACCAGATCGTTAATATCCCATTAACGGCTAGGAGTAGAGGAAAATTTCAAATAACTAATTAAACCTCCTGAACTCGCGTTCAGTGTCCACCAGAGTCCGCTGGCTCGGTAAGCAACGCGCCGCGCGTGTTACGGTTAGCACGGTGTTGCCACATTGGAACCCTATACGTGAATAAAAATCTACACTGCACCCATTTTTCTCGAATTAAACATCATTTATGCTCTAAAAAAAATTAATTCGCGTTTTTTATGAGACGTCAAATGGCACGTGATAGAGATGTTGACGTTCCTAGTATGTCTAAACTGAAACGAACGACGTGGCAACAGCGCAGCTAAAAACCGACTACACGAATCCACTGGCTCCGGGCGGCGAGGCGCCACTTTTCCGTACCAGTCTCACTAAATTATCATTTTTCATGGTATTCATGGGGTTTTCAAAGGATAGGAATCTTACCAGTCCATTCTAGAGGGTTTGAATTAGGCATTGTAATTTTTACAAATTTTTTCATACATAATTTTGCATGCAACAAGAAAAAATCGAGAAAAGACGGCGCTTTGCTCATTGAACCAGTTCAGGAGGGTTAAACGTAAAATTTGTTAGCGAACATTTTTCGTTTCAACTATTTTTCTCTATCTCCATCGAGTTTTCCGGTAAACGAATCGGAACGCGCCGACACTTCGCGCAACTGCTAACGCACCACCCGCTTTGCTCCCACCCCCGATAACTCTTTATCTATTATAGTTAGAGAAAAAAGTTATACCACAAAATATGTGTATTTTTACATACCAAACATCTTGTGTTCGAAACTATTTTCACTATCTGTGACCGTTTTTGCGATATGATTGTCCAAGCAATTAAATTGTTAATAACAAATCAAACACCGGATTTTTTGAAAAAATAACCGACAAAAAACATAAATTCCACACAGAATAAGAAATTCAAATATTTCAATTTTTGAACAAAAATATCAAGAATTGAATTCGGTCAAAAAAGTTCCACTTCGGCCCCATTCTCCCCTATGATTTATAGCTTCTCTGCTTAAATTACGAATAAGACCTTGATATTTAAAAAAATTTGGTAGTGGTACAACTAAACAAAAATATTCTTCAGTACAAATACCCGAGAGATTATTGAAGTCGACGCTGAGTTGATTATTGGAGCCGATGGCGCCTACTCCACTGTGAGAAGAACAATGATGAAGAGACCGGGATTCGATTTCTCACAGACTTACATTGAACATGGCTACGTAGAATTGAATATACCACCTCGAATGATTGATGAAACACGCCCTGATAAAGGTGTAGAGGTAAAAATAAAGTAGAAAAAGCCGTCAACTGGCTTCAATTCTGTCAGAATATTTTGCAAAAATTGATCTATGGCAGAGTGGAATTGAGCGATTTTATTCGTTAATCCACAGCTACAATATTTCACAATGCTTTCGTGACCTCTTCGATGAAATTCACCTCATACGATAAAAAATTGATACTGTAGAAAAAGAAATGATTGCGTAAATAAAAATTGAATTATGTTTATTTGAGGTAGTTCTCCATGAGTTCGAAACACCTACACATCTGGCCTCGTGGTACTTTCATGATGATAGCAATGCCAAACGATGACTACACATTCACCGGAAATTTATTCGCACCTCTCGAAATCCTAAATGGCCTCGATACACCGGAGAAACTGGTTGGATTCTACAAGGAACAATTTCCAGATGTTCTGCCAGTGATTGGTGATCAACAGGCGCTGATCGATACCTTCTTCACCGCCAAACCGAAAACACTCATCTCAATCAAGTGTAATCCGTATCATTGTGGAAAGAGTATTATTCTGGGAGATGCGGCTCATGCTATGGTACCTTTTTATGCCCAAGGGATGAATGCTGTGAGTGATATCTTCATCAAATCGCATGTCTGAAAGCAAAAGGTCGTATATGCCTTCTCCGGCAAAAGGTCGTATCCGCCAACATATGCGACCTTTTGCTTTTAGGAAATTGATCAAAGTCAACCCAAAAAATTAAAATACCTCGAGTTTAGTTATCAATGGAGAAACGACCGTTTACTTTTCATGAAGTTAGAACAATGTCTCACTTAAAGCGAAAAGGTTCTATATCCAATTTTATATATTTCCTTTATCTTGATATATATCTTTTACACAAGTCACGTACAAAAATGTTCATGGACAGGCCATGGTCTTTTGGCCGCTTGCGATGGCCTTTTCCATGGCACTGCTGAGGGACGTTGTCATGGAATTGCCATGAAGAAAAAAAACTTATAATCAAATAATCAAGTAAGGGAGTTTGACCCTCGTAACCTTGTTGTACCTTGTGACCCTTATGGCCTTTATGACCTTAAAGGTCCCAGGGGGCCGCAGGGGTACAAAGGTCGAAGGCCATGGCAAGCGGCCAAAATACCATGGCCATGGCCATGAACATTTTTGTACGTGGCGTATATACGACCTTTTACCAAAAAAGAATCCCAAAAAAAAGAAAGTTACTGAACATTAGTAATTAATGGAAAAACGACCTTTTGCTTTTTATGCAGTTGGAAAAATGTCTCACGTGAAGCGAAAGGGTCATATATCCAATTTTATATTTTGATTGCACTTTGATATTTCCATCTTTTTGAAGAAGTTTCCTGCAATTTCACTCATTTCTCATTACAGAAATTAGAATATCGTCCTATTCATTGAAAGAATGACGAATATAATTCCTTTATGCGTTGAATAATCATGCTCCCATGAATTCGCGATTCTTAATCATCATAACCTGAAGAAGTTTCAAATTCCCTTGAAACATGGTTCAGCATACACATAGAGAAAAAGTGGATTAGTTTTAGAACAAAGTTTCTAAATTTCAGAAAGTGGCGTTTCTCACTTTCAGTTTTCTACAATTTAGAAAGTTTTTCTAAGTTTTAGAATAAAATCGCTTAAAATTAATGATCAAAAATATCTCCGAAACTAAGGGAGATAGCGAGTTTTTACGAAAATTTGGGGGGAGTGAAATTTTATTGAATTCTCCATGTACAACCCTCCCCCTTCCCCCAATTTTTCAGTAAAAATTCGCTATCTTCCTTAGTTTTGGAGATATTTTTCAAAAACTCACCGACTCAAATTTTTTGGTTGTGAATTCTCCATTCACAACTCACCCTCCCCCTCTTTGCAAAATCCCCCCTCCTTCCATCTGAAATTCCCGATATTTGGGCACCTCTCCCTATGTACGAGGCACTTACGCCCTTTACATACCTCGGCTGCAATTTTTTAGTTAAATCTGAAAATTTCCTAAAATTAAGAAAAATTCAGCATTGGTTTTAGAAAATATTTGTTCTGAAAAACAATCCCCAAATTCGTTAGTTTTTATGATCTCATCAAGGATAAAGCTTAAGAATTGGAGTTTCTAAAATCAAGACACTAGTTTCTAAAGCTAATCCACTTTTTTCCTCTGTGCTGTACCTGCCTCTCCCATTTGACCCTCGAGAGTACACGGGATTCTTCCGATCACTGCTCTGTTTGACCCTTAAAAATAAAGATGGCTTCAATTCCCTAATTTAGATTTTTTTGGACATACGTTCTTCTGTTACGAATACGTAATACATAAGCGTATCTTGAAAGAGGTATATAAGGGGGGATTAGTGGACAAAAAACGATTGGAAGAGAAACATTGTGAGAGTTTTTACAATGTTCCGACATATACGAATCTTGATTAAAAATGGAGATACGCTGTTCACACAAATTATGCTATTAAGTTGCCGATATAATTATTTGACCATAATCAAATACACGGATAACTTCTAGTGACATCAACTGAAATATTGAAGGTATAACGTGTCCACGGAAAGGGAAATTGAAAAATGCAAAATTTTGTCTTTACGACCTTTTGCTTTTAGACACGCGAAATGTTGTTTCACAATCATTTTCTTTCTCCATAGAATTTATGTACTTATAGGCATTTGAAGACGTACTTCTACTCAATGAATTAATGGATTATTATAAAGATGACATGAGTAAAGTTCTTCCGGCATTCTCTAGACACCGATGCTCAGACGCTCACGCCATCTGTGATCTTGCGATGTATAATTACATCGAGGTACTCTTTAAATTAATTAATTTAGATTTTAATATGAATGGCAATTGGTAAAAGGAATCTCTTATACAGATGCGTGATCTGGTCATGAGGAAATCTTTTGTCGCCCGAAGAAATCTGGATACACTACTTCACAGACTCTGGCCGAACAGCTGGCTCCCCCTCTATAGCACCATCCACTTTTCCCGCATGAAGTTCCAAGACTGCATCGCGAATCGTGAATGGCAGAATAAAGTAATTGAATTCAAGAAATGAGGAGGAAAATATAATTAATTTTTTTACATTTTCCACGGAGAAAGAAATACAAGAAAAGATACTGTGTACACTGATAGAAAGGATTAGTTATTGTTAACGAATGGATTTGGTTGGAGACGAGGGTCTATTCGGTCTCATCAAATGTTCATTCGTTAATAGTTAACAAATGCACATTTGAGGAACCTTGTTTGACTCGATTTTCACTTTTCAAGTGAACATCATTCGTTAACTATTAACAAATATTCATTTGGTCATATTCAACTCTATCGTTCGTTAATAGTTAACGAATCTCGTTTGTAATAAATGAATCAGTCTATAAGTGCATGGTAAAATGGATTTATTTTCTGGCGCTAGCACCGAACATTTTATAGCATCAAGTTTGAGAAGAATCCGCGTAGCAGGCACCAGAATTTTGGGTCTGATAAAATTAACCCATTTTAAAGTACCATCACACAATAATCTTTCTTGTATTTTTTCCTCCGTGTGTTTTTCCAAGAATACAATTATTTTAGAAACGAATGGTGCGAGGCAAAATTAGTAATGCCGCGAAACATTTCGCGAGACATCACGAGACAATCTTCGGAGGGGTTGTCTCGGTCTTAGTGAACACGGAAATTTTTTATCTCGTCTCAGGCTTGAAATACGGAGTATCGACTCTTCTCGTGATGACTCCGAGTCAATTTATCTCATCTCGGTTTCCAGTCTTTCGCTTTTTTTATGTGTGGAAAACCTAGACGAGAGAAACCGGGACAAAAACCAAAATTTGACATTAAAAAACACAAAAACTTGAGACCGAAATAAGATAGATTGACTCAGAGTTATCACGAGAGGAGTCGATACTGCGTATTTCGACACTGAGACGAGAGCAAAAATTTCCATGTTCTTTGAGACCGAGATCATCTCTGCAAAGTTTTGCCTCATCAAGTGTCTCGCGGCATCACTAGGCAAAATGGCAAACGCGAACCTTTCGCTGAAAATTTAATTTCCTGTAAAAAAGTTCTCACGCAGGTATTCAAATATTACATCATGCGTTTTTTGGACATTTCAGATCCACCTCTCCCTCCGGCACAAAACCATCACAAACGTAAACTTCGTCCCTTTATATTACGCCGCTAAATTCACACTTCCCTATGTTATGTCGAAAATAATTTGAATTTTCTATAAATGTAATTTCCACAATAAGAGAAATAATAAAGGATTATATCAATAATCCATTCTTTATTCAAGACTCTCTAAAGATGTAATCACTTAGGAACTGTCCATATATTACGTTTAAGACATTTAGAGGAAAGGAGATCTACCATTCAGCTCAAGGGTCATCTCTATTACCAGAAGGTCAATCTCATTGTTTATTGAACTTCATTGAATTTTTTACGTTATCGTCCCCCCTTTAATATCATTTTGTTTATTCTTTCGGGATTAAGTTGAGGCTTTTTTCAGGATTCCATAAAGCATTATTAATCACAGAACTAATTCGATTTTCTTCCACAACGGAAATGACGCTTAGGATTTTGCGTCTTTGTGACGTATGACTCTTGCAACGTGACGAGTCTTGCAACATATGACCGACGCGAAATATACCCCTTACGAAGTATGACCTCCGTGAGGTCTAACCCTGGCAAGGTACGATCCTCGCGAGATAAGACCTTTATGAAATATAACTCTAGCAATGTATGACCTTTGCAACGTCTGACCCTTGTAACGTATGACCCTCGGGAGACATGAGCGTCATAATGCTACAAATTTTCTAATGTTACAAATTTTAGGAGAGGTATGCCATTAAATTTTACGATTTCTTACATGGGGGTGGGGGGGTGGTAAGGTGAAAATCCTCCTACGTAATATATGGACAGCCCCTCCTTAGCATTGCTGTCACAGCATTCAATCATTCCTCTTTAGGAACATTTCGAATTAATTGGACAAAAATAGGAAGATAGGATAAAAAAAATAGTCTCATAAGCAAATCAAAAGTGTTTTTTCATCAAAAAAAGCAAAAAATCTGCAGCGTCATTAGAAAAAAAGTGGTATTAGGGAATCTTCTTGTTAATTACATCGTGACATTACAATTTAGATAACCCCCACTCCTCCCCCTCCATCGCGAATCGTCGCAAAATACAGAACACTCTCCCTCCGCCTAATTGCGTGACGTAATATTTGAATCTCCCCGTCATGAGGCCATAATTTCCTAAAATCACTCGCTACCAAGACAAATCATTTTAAAAAATTCACAATCAGCTCATTACATTTCTCCAGTTGACTATAGTATTGTCAATATCTTTGCTTAATTCGTAAAGAATATCTCACAAAATATTTTTTGTTTGTTCCACCAGATACTGAGAAGATGTTTATGGTGTATAGGACTACTCACTCTCGCAATATTCTTTGCATCCGCGATCCTCCCCACTATCGCTCATTGATCCAGAGAAAGGATATTCCCCAGAAATAATCCTAAACATCACACATTCCGTAGAGTAGTCTTGGTTATTTTGCATTCCAGTTAATTAACACTTTGTCACGCAGTTTTAATATTAGATGATCGTCGAGGAAAGAATTTACGTACTGAGAATACTCATAACTGCACATGAATAAAGATATCTTGAGTAGAAATTAATATCAAAGTGTATTTCCAAACAGTCTATTTGAATGCGAAATTCTTATATCAATAAATACTGAGTTTAATCTTCTCAGGGTTCTCCAGGTACTTGTGTTTTTCCGTCTCGAATAGTTCTATCAGCTTTTCCGTGAATTTCTGGTGGTATTCATCGATTTCTTCTTGTGAAGGTTTGAGAATTTTTGGTAGCTCGAGGGGTTCACCAACTGAAAGATAATTTTATCCATTAAGAAGGTTATTTCGTTCCATCTTTCATGCCAGATTAGGATCTTAGAAACAATCTTATTTTTGTTTAATGAATGATGCATATTTTCCAAAGAAAAGAATCAATATAACACCAAAGTATCTTTAATTGAAAATAATGATCGATTGTTTTCCCTTCCCTAGTCGGGTCTTTACACGTTCTCTATTACAGCTTCATGTAGCTACTTTGCTTCCAACTATATTAGTACAGTCAATGGGGCAGACGAAGAGAAATAAATAGAAAACTTTTGCAAATTTAGTATTGATTTGAAAATACGACGTTTCCTTGGTCCCGCCCCGGTACTTTTAAGGCCATCATACACGAGCGAACGGCAGGCGAACGGTTCGCCCGAACAGGATTTGTCTGCGAACGGTATCGGGGCGGGACGATATGTACCCCATTCTTTTGCAGAAGGGTATTATCCTGGGGCCACTTACAAAAATACCCAGGGTGAGTGTGGCACTGAGATCAGTACCGGCGATATGGGGAAATCCAGAATTGTATTCCTGCCCAAGCCGGGTACGAACGGCTATGTTAAACCGAGAGACTAAGTCTAACCTCGTTTGTCTTAAAAACTCTGGAGAGACTTATGAACAGATATATGAAAGGAGCACAGCTGATTGATCGGCTATTGTCCGTCTCACAATATGCCTATAAGGAGGACAGATCTATAGAGACTTCTTTCATCACCTGGTGGCCACAATCGAGAAAGAGATAGTGGTTATGCACTAGGAATATTCCTCGATATCGAAGAGGCGTTCGATCGCACCAGATATGAGGTGATAATTTGAGCCATGTCAATGAGAAGCTTGCCGGAGACTGTCATTGACTGGACGCAGAGCATATTAGCGAGTAGGAAAATAACTGCCGCTCACAATGGTCTACATTGACTCTCCAAGTAGAGGGCGTCTGGTGGGGGGCTGTCCGTAGGATATGTGGTGCCTGGTAGTGGACGATCTACTAGATAGAAACTGTGGGACTTAGGAGCGACGGTAAAGATCGTATTTTTTCAAGGACATATGTGACACCCTTAAAAATCCCAATCACACTAACCCGAGCCGGCGTCGCACAAATTTCGCGGTCTGTACTGAGAAAAAAAATATGTTCTGCCAAAAAATTATATGCACCACGCGAGAATATTTGATGGAGTGAAACAGATTCTCATGAGGGAAATTAACCAGCTTGGGAGAAAGAAAATCCAGGATCTTTCACAAAAATTGAATTTTTATCATAACTATTACGAAAATCCCTAGCGAGTAATTCAAACTTTCGGAAGAAATATAATTTATTGTACGGCCATCTTTTTATCTGAGGGAACTCCACAGGATTATACTATAGAAAGAATGAATTTACATAGAAAGAATACATTTTGCCGAAAAAAATTATTCCCGTAGAAATGATTTTGTTTTCCCAATAACGCAGTTTTCTAGAAGAAAATTTCAATTTTCTCTTGAAATTAACATTTATTCCATAGAAATTATATGTGTGTTGATAGTATGTGTACGTAGAAAAATATTTTCGCCAGTCCGTGCGGACTGGAAAAATATGTACACTACTCAATAACATTCACTTGATGAAACCGATGGAAGAGATGAGACACCAGGAATTACGTGACGAGAAAATATAATTTTTCGACAGCACGAATTATTTCTCTCCGTGCGGCCCAGCGACTAACCGTTTCGTCGTCAGTACAAATAATGATAAACAATAAATTAAAAAAAAACGTTATGAGCATTTTCTGGTCAAACAAACAAAGAACTATTCCGAAGCCCGCGATGAACGTATTGATGGACGAAAAAGAATTAACCCACCGCTCAGTAGAACGTTGCATACTTTAATTACTTGCAATATCAGAAGTAATATTGAGTGAAACATGGTTCTTCTGGATGTTTTTTACATTTTTCGACCACCATCAATAATAATGTGGAATCAGTGAATTAGTGTGTATGTGTGTTGAGGTCTGAAGAAAGAACCTATTGAAATGGTATGGAGAAGTGAAAAGACGCTGTGTCGCCAGATATTTAAAATAAGAGTTCATTATAGACTAAATATTAGAGACGATAAGTTTTCAAAGAATATTGCGTTGAAGAAAAAGGTTTGCAGGGTATGCTCGAGTGAAGTGTGAAATGAAAAGTGTTTATGCTGTGTGACAGTTTTATTACGGTCTTGTTTAGTTTTGAGAGTTTTCTTAGGTGAATAAGGGTGGCCTGGGTGACGAACAGTGAGGTCACTTTTTGGAACAAANTGTGTCGCCAGATATTTAGAATAAGAGTTCATTATAGACTAAATATTAGAGACGATAAGTTTTCGAAGAATATTGCGTGGAAGAAAAAGGTTGTTTGTAGCGTATGCTCGAGTGAAGTGTGAAATGAAAAGTGTTTATGCTGTGTGACAGTTTTATTACGGTCTTGTTTAGTTTTGAGAGTTTTCTTAGGTGAATAAGGGTGGCCTGGGTGACGAACAGTGAGGTCACTTTTTGGAACAAAGGGTGTATTGGTTGAGAATGAGTGGGAGAGAGAAAGAGCATTTTGAAATAGAGAAAGAAAAGAGTGTTTGCCCGAATGAGAGAACGAAGAGTAAGTCAGTTGTAATCGGACGGATGTCACGTTAAGATGTAGAGCAGCTTAGCTCATTTGAAGATGTACTTTTATTAATTCGATTTTAACTCAAATATATGCTTATTATTCCATTAAAATAAATATCCTATGTCCTCATGATTATGATCCTACAATAATAATAATAACAATAATAATAACACGAAGCAGTGTGTGTGTGTGTGCGCAGGGGTATGAGTGAGAGAGTCAGTTGGGCAAAAAATATAACATCCAAGTGAAAAGAGGAATGACGGAGAAAAATCCAGATTATGAAAAAAAATGTTGAGACTGTTCGGTTTGAATGTGCAATAAAACTGCAGGCAGTCGAGTTGAGGAAAGTAATACAAAAGAGGCAGTTCTTGAGTTTTGGGCAGCTTTGTTGGACAGGAGGTGTACGTTGCATACTTTAATTACTGTATCACGTGTATCTGAAGAATGCTAGAGGAGAGGGATATTTGAGCGAATGAAGGAAAATGCGAGAGAGAAAAAAAGTATATGAATATAAAAGAGAAAACGATAGAGACGAAGAGGTTTGGGAGGTATGCAAAGGTACAAGAGGACAGTCGTTAAGGAGCAGTTGAAGCGTGAAGCACGCACAGCCACGATGAGAAAAATTGTAATACATTTTCTTTTACTGAACTATTAAATACATAGAGTTTATGCGACAATAGTCCTTTTTCATTATGAATCCCTTCAATAATAATATTAATAATAATAATGGTTTCCCAGTTAACGAATCTATAGATATTTGATAATTTATGAAAGATGATGCTTTACAACTTACCTACGACAGTAACCGGTTTTCTCTGTGGGATAAGCCCAAAAGTATACTGGAAAAATCCTCGACCAACAACAATAACTGGTGCGATACCACAAATTTTTCTGATGAACTCTTGAACTTTATTCAGGAACGAGTCCTCGGTACTGCGTATCTGATCGTACAGATCCGTCTCGCCGAATGAAAAAACTGGGACTAATGGAGTCCTAACAAAAAACAGGAAATATTGCACAAGTGCATCAGAATAAAAATGCAATACAGAGAAACAAATAATCGTGAAAAGTGTTGAATTGGTTGATGATTTTTCACCTACCCTGTCTTCAGCGCAATTTTTACGAATCCTTTTCTCTTCTTGAGAATGATATCATAGGTAGATGGTCTGCACTTGAGGGACTCTGCAGCTCCTCCAACAACTAAAACAACCGCGGTACTCTTTTCATTTTGACTCTTCGGTTGCAACAGATATTCGAGACTCTCTGAACAGGCACCACACGCGCCGAAGCTATACACAAACTCCCTGAAGAATGGTATCTTAAAGTGCTGATCCAGGGTCACTATCCGTGGTTCTAAACCAGGGAAAACGTTTTTGCAATTGAGAATGTCGGTCGAAAAAGCTGCGAAGGCACCGGTGGCTAGGATTCCATGGGGGAATGAACACAAGAGGTAATTTCTTGAAGGATCAAGATCAACAGTTTTGACTAGCTTTACGGGAAAATAAGCACAGAAGTATCGCCACCAGGAGGAGTTTCTCATCCATGAGATCCATCGGTCGCTAAAATGATAATTAAAAATTATTACATGAAAGATAAGGGAGCAATCAAATATTACGTCACGCGTTTTCGGACATTTTAGACCCCCACCCCCCGTCGCAAGATCGTCACAAGCGTGAACCCCCCCCCCCTGTAGCGGCTCGCTACATCAACGCGTATCGCACCGCTCTCACAGACACACCTGAGGAACACACGCACGTCCCAGGTATCGCAATCGCTCCCGCTTAGTAGTCGTGTAGCTCTCGCCACTCGGTGGACATCTTCACCTCACCTGTATATATAATACATTCATACCACCGACTCATCCTGTACATACTCATACCACGACAATAAACTAATTACTAGTTTGCAACCGTTGTCTCGCGTAGTTGATGCGTTACCTTCCCGATCCAACATCACCTCGAATCCTACACCCCCCCCCTGCCTATTACGTTACAAAATCAACGACCCCTCCCTCCTTTATATAGGGAACAATTTCGTATTTATTTTTTTTTATTGTCAAAAACGTGAATAATCAGTTCTTTCTTCGATACTTTCTAAAGGTTTCAACTTATTTTATCACAGCATTCCAATAATAATTCCTGTTTGCAAATCGTTTCGATACTTGGGAGAAAAAAAAATTCTTCAAATAATTAGTTTCATGGGCAAGTCAAACAAATTTTCATTAAAATGAGTGCAGGGTCATTTGAAAACCCTGATACGAACAGATGTTGTTGATCAATGATCGCTTCATCGCTCCATTCTTCATCTTCGTCATTTTCAATATTACATGTCGCGTGTTTAAAAGCAAAAGGTCATATATGAAGAATGAGGAATATAATTCCTTTATGCGTCGAATGATCATGCGCCCATGAATTCACGATTGTTAATCATCATAATCTGAAGCAGTTTCAAATTCTCTCGAAACATGGTTCAGCATACACAGATAGAAAACGTGGATTGGCTTTAGAAAAAAGTTTCTAAATTTTAGAAACCGCGGTTTCTAACCTTCAGGTTTCCATAATCAAATCTAGAACTTTTTTCCAAGCGTTAGAAAAAAATGGTTTAAAATTATTCCCCATTTTCCCCCTCTACTGGGTTCCCACTTTGTCGTAGTGAGGGGGCTCGGTCGCGAGCGGTGGAGGTCTTAAGCCCGCGGTCGCTAAGAGGAGCCCACCCAAGCCATGTGTGTGAGCGGCGTAAGCCATGGCCTCGGCCAGATCGTGCCTAAAGATGCGGCGATAAAGATAAACCTGGGCGACCTCTGAGAGTAGTCTTGGGTGTAACCCACCCGAGACAAGCCAAGCCCTGGGCAATCGCCGCAATGCACCAGGTGAAAACGCTTAACCGCGGTACTCGTGGGACTAAAATGGAAACCAATATAAAAAATCTTAATATCGAAAAAGTAACTTCGAGTGGGGCCAGCGATGACGAACACACGAAGTCTGACAAGGCTGACCAGTCTGGTACCGATGTGAATCGGCTCAGACTGAGTGGAGCCGAGACAAGACGTCGCAAGAGAGCGCAGCTGCATCAAACCTCGGGGGCGATTGCAACCTTGGCGGATGCAGCACCGAAGGTCGACGAGGGGAGGGGGAGGGGGCTATGAGGAAGGCAATAAAATGCCTTCCATCAGAGCGTACTACGCCAAGCCCCTCAGTCAGACCGAAAGAAAAGAGAATGAGAACGCAGGATCAGGGCACATATGCTCAGAA